GAGGTCTCGGCCCCGGAACCCGCGTGGCTTTGTCCCTCTGCCAGTACCTTCATGTGTGCGGAGAGTGGTCTCAGCATGGTGGTGGCTGGTCCTGGACATTTTCTTTATTTTTTCTTTTTCTTTTTATTACTGAGGCCATACTGATTCCTGATTTCAGTGGAGATTTACTTTGGAAAGTCTTTAAAATTTTTGGGATATAAAATTGAAACTTATAATAAGACCAGCATTATTATTTTTTCATTTCTCTCTTTAATGTTGGAAATTGCTAGCAACTTTGCTCCTGAGTTACAGTGCTTAGTGCCCTCCTGTCTTCCTCTAGCTGTTTATTAAGCTTTACCTCAGAGGAAACTCATCTCTCTGATAGAAATGATCAGGAAAGAGGGAAAAATAACTATTATTTTGGTATCTGCCTTAATTACCTACACAGCTATCAGTAGCCCATTTGCTGAAACAGAATCCCATGCTACTAAGGTTTAGTCCTGAATCCCCCCAGTCTTGGTACCTTTTTGTGGTATATCCAAGGCATTCTATTTGCTAGAAATCACAAAAATACCCATCTACCTAAACAGTAGAAATGATTAATCGTTTCTGTAAACATCCATCTATTAGATTACTCATATTGACTCTAAATTTTCAAATTTATTATGTATAAGTATATTTTTGAAAAAAAAAAACAAATCTTCTAAGCACGTGAAGGGTTGTTCATATCTACCACTGAACCTCTCCACATTTTCTACTCTATCCACACCTCTGCCTCTAAATTAATTTTTAAGTTGATATGTTCATTAACAGAAAACTTAGATATGGTTAAGATATAATAATAGACTTTGCAATATAATTTACCACATAGCTGACCCCATTGCATTCATTTTGTGATGACAAGACTTTAAAATCTAGTCTCTTAGTTACTTTGAAGTATCAAAATGAAGCCTTTCCTAAGTCCCCCACCAGTTTAGTACCACTGTCCTGTGTTCCTTGAAGGGAAGGTCAAAGCAACTATAATATTGAGGAAAATCAGACGACAGATCAATTGGTGGAGCATGTGACAAGTATATGCAAGACCCTATGTTTGATTGCTAATACCAGCACCCAGTGTTGCTGAGTATGATCTGCAAAAAATTATTGAGGGAAATCTCATTTTAAAGAGCCAGAGAATATATAATTTTATTCAAAGGTGATGAACTTTTATAATGCATTGCCTTTACAGAAATAACACTGAATGAGGAGATGAATCTTAGGTTTGAAATTCTCCTGCTCTTCAGTAATACTATTCAAAGGCCATTTTTAAGGTTTTTATTTCTCTTTCATGGTGCCCTTAGACAGACACTTTACTCATCTTTAATTTAGGGAGGCCCTTTTATCTGCCCGGGCCTTTTACATATACTGTCACATTTATCCTTTCCCATCCATGATACTTTGTTCGTCCTGAACAAGCTTTGGACAATGAACTTGTCCATTGACTAACACTCAGAATTGACTCATAGAGATGGGAACTCAGGTACATGTAGCCCAAGACCATGCTTTGTGTTTCATAGATGAGGCTACCTTTAGAAGATGTTCTGACATTCATGGCTTGTAATTCTCTGCTTTAAACATTCCCTCATGTCTAATGTTTCTGAAAAACACACTGTTTTAAAATAGTTCAAACTAGTAGCTTTAATAATTTATGTCTTACTAAGCACTTGGGCTGGAGCATAGCACAGCGGTAGGGCGTTTGCCTTACAAGCATCCAACATGGTCAACCCAAGTTCGATTCCTACCCCCTTCTCGGAGAGCCTGGCAAGCTACCGAGAGTATCTCGCCCGCACGACAGAGCCTGGCAAGCTACCTGTGACCTATCTGATATGCCAAACAGTAACAACAAGTCTCATGATGGAGACGTTACTGGGCCCGCTTGAGCAAATCGATGAACAACGGGAGGACCGTGACCGTGACTAAGCACTTAATCTTAAATGCCTAACCTTATCCAGCAGATCAGTTTTCTGGAAAACATTTTAATGAAGAGAATCATTTAAATGTGTTTGTTCATTTCTAGTAGCAGCTTGATTTCTAACTTCAGTAATTTTTTCGAATTCAAAAGTCCTTTCAAATGGAAGACATTCATTGCACTTTATTTTATACCATGCCCACTTCAAAATAAAACCAAAAGTAACTAATGTTATTTGGGGGGGAATCACTTCCCAGCCATATTTATTGGACCATTGATGGAGAATCAAACCGAGGGCCTCATACATACAAGGCACATGCCACTTGAGCCATATTATTGGCCCCAACATAATTTACTTTGCTAAGAAGAATAGTTTCTCAGTAAGCAAAGGAGGAAATTTCATTACAGAATGCATGTACATTTAATTTACAAATACTTCAAGAATACCTCTTTATCAACCAGTAATATTTTTTAAATTATGATTAATATATTTTATAACAGTGATAGAAACACTTTGCCTACTTGCCAAATAGTGGGTCCTGTGCGTTGCATACTTGAGCTAGAATATAGCATTTGAAACTGAAACCTGACTTTGCTACTTGCTGATGCGGTGATCCGGGTATATTCATTATCTCATTTCACATGCAAGTGAACATAATTTTACATTTTCAGCACTTGAACGGTGCTCTAATGTAGACTTTTGAAAGAACAGCTCTTGTTTTGGAGAGTAAGATTAATAAGAATTTTTTACTTTTATTTGCCTATTCCATATTGTTCTATAAACTTTAACAGAAATTGTTTAAGGGCAGAAACAATAATGTAATTGCTGTGCACTCAGGGATCAATCCCTGCCACGTCCTGTGGTCCCTTGAGCCCTGCCAGGAGTGATCATCCATAAGCACAGAGTTAGGAGTAAGTCCTGAGCACTGCTGGGTGTGTCAAAAAAATATAACAATTTATTTAAAGTCATCTGACTTGGGCCAGAGAGATAGAGAGATGTTCACCTTGCACGCAGTGGACCCAATTCAATTCTAGCACCATATATGCACAGCTGGAGTGACCCCTCAGCACAGAGCCTGGAGAAAGCCCTAATTACTGGTGGGTGTGGACCCTACATAATACAAAATAAAAATAAATTCAAAGATATGTCTAACTCTTACTCTCAAAATACATTTCTGAATTTATATTAATAACTCTTTTTCTTTAATTCCAACTCAGCAATGGTGATTTTGGCCTCATGGGTCAGTAGGCTATACTGTGATGATAGTGTGATTTACCCCACCTCCTCTGGTAGCATGACTCCTCTAGATTGAGAAGATAATTATTATTACTTTCCTGCTCTTGATACTTCTTTCTACTTAGTCAGAAACAATTCTTCATCTCTGGACAGATATATCCAACTACAAAGTAAATAGAATGAGAGATGGAAATTATTTCCAATTTCTTATTGAACTTTTTGTCTGATTCTTCTCTCCCTGAAAACCAAGAATATGCTTAAGCTTTTCTCAGTATAGATTTTTATACTAAAGTAGCATCAGGGTAGGGGAAATAACAGAAAAGGCGCTTGCCTTGCATACTGCTAACTCAGGTTCAGTCCCCAACATTGCATATGTCTCCTGAGCAATGCTAGGAGTGGTTGCTGAGCACAGACTCGAAACCCCAAAATAAATTAATTTAAATAATAACAGCTAATTTTAATTATACAATGAAGTGTGATTTGATGAAGTTTTAAATCTTTTAAATATTATTCTAATAAAAACATAGCGCGTCCTACCACTCTGGAAAATTCCTTTGGAGCTTCCTACTCATCATTCTCACCACCCTGTCCCTTTAGGTAAACACTGTACTGCGTGTTATCACCAGAGGTCAAGTCTACTTTATTTTGAATGCCATATAAAATGATATTACACAGAGTATACCCTTTTATGCCTGGCTTATTTCTAAAATCCTTGAATTAATTATTTCATTAAAAAATGCTGAGTAGTGTTCCATTGTTAGAACTTACCACATTATGTTAACTCATTCAGTACAGAGAGTTGGATCATTTCCAGTTTGGGATATTGCAAACAATATGTCTAAAATCAGCATCTTCTACAAGCATTTTTGTGGTCGGAGGTGTTCATTCTTTTGTTTAAAAATCTAGAAATGGAATTGCTTAACTAGAGGATAGATATCTGTTCAAGAGAAATCGTCAAACCGATTCCCAACTTAATTTTCCTCTTTGTAACTCCTACCAGCACTGTATCAGTTTCCTTCCTTCCATCTTCTTATCTAAATTTGATGCTGTCACTTATGTTTAACTTTAAATACTATGGGAGATGTAAAATGACATCCAATTTTAGTTCCTTTTCCTTGACCTTTTTCCTTTTATTGGAATTTGGTTTTTGTGGTAGATTTGTAAGAAGTTTTATTGCTTTCTTTTGTTTTGTTTTTGAGCCATGGCCAGGCTTTTCTCAGGGTTTACTCCTGGCTCTGCATCAGGGATCACTCCTAGCGATGCTCTGGGGACCACACGAGGCTCTGGGGATTGAACCTGGGTTGGAAGCCAGAAAGGCAGGCCTTTGCTATTGCTGTGGCCCCATGGATGACTGATGTACTATGAATATTTTTGCATATTTGGTGCTTAAAAGTTTTGTTTTTTAATGTCCTTGGGGCTTTTTAAAATCCCAAATTAAAAGTAACATACTAAAGACAAATGAATTTTTCAGTTTGAATGAGCCATATGTCTTTTTCACTTGGACATATCTCATACACCATTACAACCCTGTTTCAGCTAAATTTGTGATTCTTCACAAGTAAGTCAGAGAGTTTTATTTATAGCAAATAAGTACTTCTAGGGTAAAATAATTTCTTAGCCTGGCTTCCTTAGTCAAGAATTACATCTGTCTTTAAAAGTGAAGTGTTAGGAGAAAGACAAGTAATACATGATATATCACTCATTTTTGGAGTACAAAAACACAAAAAAGAGAATAGAAAATGATCAGTAAAAAATGAACACTCTTATCCTGCCTAGAGAATTCAGAAAATGAAGTAAATTCATATGTCAGTGTGATAACTTTTAATTCTGTTATAGGACTGCATCAAAACATGTGAACAAGGACCTTGGTAACATGGAAGAAAACAAAAAGTTAGAAGAAAACAACCACAAGACAGAAGCCTAAGAGAGAAATTGTTCTAGTTGTTGTCCAGGTGGGTAGGTTATAGTAATAACTTTGAGGTTTATAGTAATAACTCCCAGGGAAGTCGAAAACACCTGAAGATATGAACGGGGAAGGTTTGAGATTTAGATGCTTCCTTACTGTTGCTTCTAGAACCAGAGAGACATTTTCAAAGGGAAGCTTTGGTAATTCAGAAAGGTACTCTCCAAAGAATGGTTTCCTCCTCCTCTGAACAATAATCACCATTCTCTGTCTGGTTGAAAGTTGATTTAATTCAGCTTTCAGAATTTTACGTTCAGTTATCATTTGCAACCTAATGCAAAAAGTTAAGTTTAATGCAAAGGAGTTAATTTTATACATTAATATTCTATTGGATGAATCAATTCTAATAATATAAATTTAGTTTTAAAGGGAATTACAAGAATAAGTTTAAAATATAAAAATTTCAGTATAAGGATTTAATATTATTTATTTAAGTCTATTTATATAGTCAGGCTCCAGATGTTTTTAGCAAAAAAAAAAAATAAACTAACAAGCTTGTCTGGATATATACACATATATTTTCTGCATAGTGTATATATTATGTGTTTACATGCCTATATCCATATATGCACATTATATATGTATATATATAAAATGTAAATATCTATGTTACACTACTTGCATATAACTATAAAGAATAGTAATATATGATTTTAAGACTATCTCCAGCAGAGGTATGTTTCCACAGTATTGCTACTTGCAATTTGACTTTTAAATTTTTATTTAAGTCACCTTTAGCCAATGAAAGAGAAGCCATTGGTGAATTATTTTGGGTATCCCGGAGAAAAATTGTTACTATAGTTTATTCCTATATTGTGAAAGTCCCCGACAATATAGTAAAAGTTTGGTTCATTGTAAATAAATTGCCCATCATCATTTGGTTAGGTCAATCAACTCAATTCTATAAAGAAGACAGGACACCTGGGGAGGAATTATAATTGAAAGGATGAACATAGGAAAGAAAATTAGGAAAACTTAAATTAGCTATTTTTACCATCTGTAAATCAGAAAGTAAAGAATTAAGGACCTGGGTTCCTTCCCCTATCCTGCATTATTGAGTCCTCTCCTTTAAAGTCATCTGACTTGGGCCAGAGAGATAGAGAGATGTTCACCTAGGTTTTTTTCTGCTTCTCTGTGATTCATTCCTCAATCCACTGTAAACACAGATTTTTGCCTTTTTTTTTTCCTTCAGAATTGTTTAGAGAAAATTCTCAAAGGATAACTGAGTTTAAAGATAAAACCTCAGAAAGTCAGGTGTGTTTTGAACGGGTAAATGAAGTTTTTAAATCTAAGGAGAAACATAATGAAATATTTTCCAGAAAAAAAGATTGTCAAATCTTTATATAAACCAAGCAAATCCAACAAAAATAAAGAATGCCAGTAACTGGAATTTTTACTTGTAGAAGTCCCACAGCAATGCCTGGGATTACAAATGGGCTCAGGGGCAATGGAATTTTTTAAAGCCCCTCTAAATTAATTCCTATCACTTTTGGTACTAAGCTTCTGTTGATGGTGAAAAATGATTGCTGTGGGTACTTATCTAAACTATGTTTTTTCATCATATTTTTTCAGAGAAAATAACTATATAGACCAATTGAAGCATGAACGTGGATTGTATTTAAGACATATACAAAGACATTGACAGCAATTCATGGTTCAAGTATTAAGCAGTTCATTCTACCAAGCTGTCACAGGATTTTAGAGAATTATCTCAAGTAAAACAATGAAATGAAATTACAAACAAAAACAGGTTTTGGCAGCCATGATAATAGGTCATATGTTGTGTTCGGTTTGATTTTTTTTTTCTGTAAATGTCTGCACTGAGGATTTCTTTTCGGTTTGCCTTTTATGTAAATTTTTTACGTAGCTATTTTTATACACTGTAAGCTTTGTTCTGGGAGTTGCTGTTAATCTGATGTATGATGTAATGTTTTTATTTCAGTTGTTTATATGGATAATCTGAGCAGGTACATTTCTGATTCTGATTGCTATCAGTAGTGCCCCAAACGTGCTCACAAGCACCCAAATCCCAAAGGTGGCAGCTTGTGAAGATTGGGGATTGACACACACATTGCCCTGTTCAAAAACTGTTTTATCACAACAGAGGGAAAGTCAGAGAGTCAAACTGATAAGCAGCAGACAAATTGATTCTGTGTATGTGTCACCATCTGACTCTCAGAAGTAAACCACACACATATGGATGCACTCACATAGTGACAGTTCTCCCAAATTGATCATTCTACTTATTCCCAAAAAAAAAACAATGAAAGAATTTGGGTAGCACTTTCCTATAAAGACACCTGCTATAAATTATTTTATGTCAAAAGAATAACCAAACCAATGTGTGAGAGACAGTTTGGAAAAATCATGGAGAACATGACCATTTTCATAGATCACAATGTCTATCACCATAATTAAAAATTGGTTTTAAATCCTTTGGGTTATCCACTGCCTTAAAATTATACCTATTTCCTGTAAAAAAAAGATATCAGTCAGAATTGGAGATTTTTAACAGTGGTCATTATCAAAGCTGTGTTATTTTCCACAGAGTATAGAATATATATTTTTTTCGTGTGTGTTTTTGTTAACTACGCTACAGATATTGAATGCACCTTGAGATAATTTAGTGTTTTTAACTGGTACATAATTTATCAAGCAGTACATGAAAGTGTAATAATAAAATGTCTATGTATCTTTAGTTACATTCAAATTTGTAACTTTATAAACATGTTTTATGCTTGAGGAAATTTTTAGGGTGGTAGTATAAATGGATACTTTTTGCAGTAGACTGGATATGGGCCAATAGCTACTTGTGACTAGACTTTTAAACTTTGCTCTTTCAAGCAGAAGCCTGGTTTCTGGGAGAACACTGCACAGACATTTTTTGTCCCAGGATTTGCATAACTTTATAGAACAAAAGGGAACATCTAATTTCCAGGTATAGAACTCTGTTCTCTAAGGAAGGAAACAAAACCTGGTGTTGGTTTTTTTAGAGTGATTAAAAAATGACGAAGGCAATGGAAAATCAATTAAATATTGAGGACAAATGAAGATTAGGAATGATATTTTGCCACTTCTGCATTGTTTAGAAACACATATTATTGTACATTTGTAAACCGTTACTGTCTGGGCAATAGTGACTCAGTTTCATAAAAGCTTCCTGTAGTACATTGATATGGATTAAATATAAGAAATATCCTATTAGACTTGATGCTGTATGAAATATTATGGGGAAAAAAGAAAATGTGTTATTTTGCCTCTAAACTTTGATGCATTGAAGTTTTATTTGGCAGGAAAAATTCTGAATCTTGGTCAATATTTAAACCAAAGTAAAAGGGGAAAAACCAAAGTTACTTGTTTTGCATGGCTATGCCATTCTGTAATCTCTGTAAATACTGTGATTTCTTTTCCTTTCATCTTTAGAATTTTGTTAAAGAAATTCTAAAACTTTTAAACACCTGCTTTTCACAATAAACTATGAACACTAAAATGAAAGTACATCCATATAAATATTTTTCTTTCTTTTCTGGTGTGGGAGATCAAAGGTTCAAAGTCTAATTCCTAAGGTATATTTGCAGAAAGAAGCATTGTGACAACAGAAACAGACGGTTATACCACAATTCTTTCTTGTTTTTCACTTGGAATGGTTAACCAAGTCGCAGAACAACTGTCAGAAGCGAGGGAGAATATGGGAACGTCAGAGGCCTGGATGGAAAGTGGAAGGTTTGACTGGAAAAAAGAGATAGCATTAATACTATCGAATCTGTGCCTGGATGAAAAGAAAACTGTGTGTAAAGGCAGTCTTGTACACAACTGCTTTGAGAAAGAAGATAGTGTACAATTCTCAACTTCTGAGGCTCTGTCCTCTCTCCAGTTTAACTCTGGCAGCAAGAACATACTTTGCCAGTTCAAGTTCCCTCCCTTATCTGTGATTACAGGAATTATATGTGGAAATGGATTAACATACCCGTCTATGCCTAAAAGATAATAAAACAAATGTCTTCACAATACTGCTCACAGCTGTTTGCCTCTTGTCTAAACTAGGGAATGTTCGTATACAGAAAGTATCCTTATTAAAGAGCTGGGAACTCATTAGGAGTCTCCATCTCTTTGGAAGAAAATGAAAAATGATAATAAAGTTGTCCATACCGTCTTATTATGGCAGGTATGATGCCACCGTAGCTAGTAATAGACAGTACTTGTGATTGGTTTCATGTCCAATATTAGGATAGTGATAACTGTGTGTGTTCCTGTGTCTATCGTAGGAATTTAAATTTGAGGATATTTTCTCTCCTGTTTCTTCATTTTCATTATTATCGCACATTCATCTTACATTGCTATTGCCTAGGTCTGTCTATGAAAATGTTTAGCCTTTAAAGTAAAATATAGTCATTATACACAACAAGAAGGGCTGGAGTGACAGCACGGTGGTTAGGGTGTTTGGCTTGCATGCAGCTGACCTGCATGCAATTCTTCTGTCCCTCTTGGAGAGCCCAGCAAGCTACTGAGAGTATCCGACCCACATGGCAGAGCCTGGCAAGCTCCCCTTGGCGTATTGGATAGGCCAAAAATGGTAACAAGTCTCACAATGCAGACATTACTGGTGCCTGCTCGAGCAAATCGATGCACAACGGGAGGACAGTTCTACAGTGCTATACATCAAGAAATTAAATTAACATTTATTGAGCCCATATTATGTGCTGGAGTGATCCACTTTTTTAAAATAAAATATGCTCTAATTGAATCCTTTATGGTTATAAATATTAAATAGATCCTGTTTGATAAACAAAAACTAAAACCTTTAGAAGGTACATAACTTCCAAATATACTTAGTTTCTAAGTAGATAAAGAGTATGATATTGAATCTGACCTTTAAAAATTAGGAAATTGCTATTTACATATACACTGGTTAAACATCATACAAAACATCATTCCAAGGTGTTCACCTCATATGTAGAAGGCCAATATTTTAGATACTGTGCTAAGACA